ATGTGTTATCACATGTGTGGTCATGTCAGTCATTCCCTTCTGCCTCTGTCCATGTCTGGAGGCCTGTCTCTAAGGCTTCATCTACTACTCCTCTCTAGTATCTGCTCCACAGCTGACTCCACTGAATACTGTTTGTACAGCTCCCCAGAGTACTTTGCTGTTGCTAGTCATACTATGATGTGACTCTCCTGGGACCTTCTTACACTGGCAGAACTTTTGTGGGAATGCAGTCCTAGTGTTACTAGTCAGAGGGAACAGAGACATAGACACAGACACACACAGACATACACACACACACTCGCTCACTCACTAAGTACTGCCAGTATGGTGATAAGAAACTAATTTTTGCTAATCTGCTGTGTATTAAGCCAGATCTCACTGCTTACCAGACACTGATATTGCCTTTAGAAATATAGGGTATGGACTGCAATGTCTTCTTCAAGTCCTGTGTATTCATGTCCTTTATGTGTAGCGAAAGGAAGCCCTGTAACAGAAGGCCACGGTAGGAGGCAGTTTGCTGTGGTTACCTGTAGCCTGGCTTTGCTATTTATTGACTGAATGCCTTTCATCAAATTTTTCTCTGTCCCTGTCTCTTGGCTTCCCTGTTTGTAATAAGTGAAAATAGAGATTTCCTCATAGTTTTGTGAAGATTAAATGATTTAAAACATAAGACATTTAGAGCGTCTGACAAAAATAAAGAAGCAACACACATTCACTATTCATGTCAATTAAAGCTATACATAGAAACAAATATAAACAGGACACTATAGATATAAATTTTTATGAGTAACTATTGAAATTAATTTCTTCTTAAATACGTAGATTGTGTATTATACACAGCAGTCCTTTGTGAGCTTTGGATGTTACAAATACATAAAGCTGGTCTGTCATCTGTATGAAAATTAACTTTTTAGTCAAATCTTTTCATTTCTTTTGGCCATATACTTGGTATGCTTTTGAGTTTTATTTAATAAACCTTTTTACTCTCTAATAGCACAGAGATACTTTATATTTCTTTTTATACTTAATTTTAGATTTCCTTGCATGTTGCTCCTGGGATGCTTCAGAGGTTCTCTGAACAAATTGATTAATTCTAAGCCTCTTGTTTACTCACTCAGCACACTTAGGTGTAAGCACCAGGGTTGGTGGAGAACACAAAGCTGCGGCAGACAAATTACCAGTTAGTGGAGGACACAAGGCTCTCACGTCCACTCTACGTTCAGTAAGAAGGCTGAATGCTCACAGGAGTGAAAAGGTGGAGAGGAGAGGCCTTCGCTGAGGAGTGGAGCTGGAGTTGTGGCCTGGGATGGTGGGGGGAAAGGTGGAGGCAACCGGGAAAAACGAGCATTCTAGGGAAGGTTGCAAAGATGCTGTACATGTGTCGAGGACAGGATAGGGCAATGAGGAGGCTCAGATGCTGGAGGCAGAAGGTAAATGGTGGTGAAGATGTGAGGCTTTGATGGCCAAGCTGGGGCATTGAGACTCCAGTGACGCACAGCATGCAAAAGATACTCCTCACTATCACGGTGTGAGAGAAGGATGGGAATGGTAACATGACAACGTGAGTGCTGTGTGTATAAAATGGGGTGGGACGAGGGGCAAACTGGGAAAGCAGGCAGACAGGAAGTATCAAAATCACCTTCTCTGGCTGTGGAGATGATGCCTACTAGGTGAAGTAACAGAATCGAAGCCTGGGATGGCATGATGCTTTGGAGGGAAAACAACAACAACAACAACAACAACACAACAATGGCAGGTGTTTGTTATCAGGAAAAGGAAGCACAAAAAGAAGTCCACAGATCAGCAGGCCTAGGATTCAGTGGTGTGCTGGGTACAAGGTGCAAGTCTTGCGTGGTCTCAGGGTGCAGTAACCCACACTTAGCAAGAGTTTGACAATTATTTAATGAACAAGCAAATATGTATACTTGAGGCAACAATCAGACCCTCTTGAGGGAACAGTCCTTGGACAGCTGAGATACAAACTGAACGTTAAATACTGAAATTACCCTGTCCACCTCCCCACTCCCACCACCCCTAAGAAGAAGGAAAACAAGTACAAATGCAGGAAAGAAACAGAGAAGTAGGATAACAGGCAGAATTAGTATCCTGGGATCTTAGGGAGACCGTGAACACGTTCGATGGCATTGCCAAATGCCACAGAAATCACTTGGTGATCATAGGTGAGTTTGTGGAAAGCAGGTGATACGACAAGGTAAGAGTTCAATAATATTTATTGGTGGGGAGAGGGTATGAGGGTATCGTCATGGCAAAGTGCTTATGGACAAGGTGTCAAGTACTCCACAGAGCTTATACAGCTTTATGGTGTGTAAGGAAGCATTTCTCAAGAGCTAAATACAGACATACCCATAGGTGCAAAAATTAGCAACCAGTTCCACCTGATCTTCAAGAACCAGAGAACCTGAGTGTTTGACCTGAGATCCCAAGGGTTCGGGAACTAGTTGGATTTTAGGAACTAAGATTAAGTTTTCTTTGAAAAAGTTTTAGAGTCTTTCAATTTGCATAGATTTAACAGTTGTGTCACAATTACCTTTTAAACTGGAAAGGTCAATTAAGCACCTTTAAAAAGTATAACCAATGAGTCGCAAAATATTTGGATAGACTATTCAGTTTATTCAAGCACAGTTTATTCGGTGTTTATGAACTTGCTCATCACCTTGCTGTGTGCTGAGAAACAGCATGGTTCACCTCAGCCAGGTTGGTCTTAGCCTAGTGCTCCAGGACAGGATAATCTCAAATCAGGATTGAGCCAGGATCAAGACTGCCTCAAAGCTGAACAAAACTGCATGGCTTTCAATTGCCTAACTATACCAATAGAATACCTATCATTGTTTCCTCCAGGAAGCTACTAAAGGTCTACTTATTTGAGACCTTAAAAAGAGGTGACATGCTGGGAAGAGAGCAGCTACCATCACATGAGGAACAGTGTGAGCTGCCCTCCACCAAGGTCTGACATGGAGTGTTTATAAGGGTTTTCCTTCAGTTCCAAGTGAAAAATCAGAAGGCTGCTTTTAGTGGGGCTTCTCTGAAAAGACTAGCCAAGTGCTAACAAGGTCATTCTGCTGACCAGTGTGTTTCTACAGCTTCAAGGTGCTCAGTCAGGAAATTTGTGTGGAATAAAGCTCTGAGACGTAGTCATCTTCAATGTGGCTTCCTACAAGTGTTTTCTTTAATGGCCATAGAATTGGCAATTGAGTCATGATTTTTCTAACGGCCCAATTAAAGTTTATGTTTTAAAATAGCACTTGGGACCCTGAGTCTGCACGCTGCTGACAGACATGATAGCTGTGATTTCTTGCTTACTCAACCTGTCTTAGTTTTGACAGAAAGAGCCTCTGGTAGTGATGCAACAGTAGAGCTCGTGGAGCTTTTCTAACCCAGGGACCAGGTTAACCTGAGGTAACGTTAAAAGTTCCAATTTCCAGAGGACGTTGAGGCTATCCGCATCACACAGGCATATAGGAGGTATTGTGGCTGGTACAGGCAAGAAAGCCCAGGTAGGGTGGGTGCTTCAAAAGAGCCATAGGCTTTTTTATCTGATCCTTCAAGAAGTGAAAGTCTGCATGCCATTGTGTCTGAAAGAGGAAGCTTCAAACAGGAAGTGACTCAGCGCTTTCTGGGTCCAAACCATTTAGGATAAAATACAGGTACAAACTGGCCAATATATGACCAAATGATGTGCACAGCGTGGATTGGTAGAGAGCCTGAGTTAGACTCAGTAGGAGTTATCACGGAGGCAGCCATCGAAGTCTTGAAGCTACTCTCATCCCTTAGGAAACCCACTGGGATGACAAGGAATATCCACTGTGTATGACAGAGCATTTCTGTGGAACACGACCAACCTGCACAGTGTCTTCCCACACAGGGCATCAGCAATTCGTGCATGTTTGCAATTCCTGACGCATCTGATTACTTTTATTTAGTATTTTAAAAATACAAAAGTATTTTTTAAATTGGGACTAAATAAATAAAAGCACATTGCTTTGGATGAATTCAGTAGCTTCACCTATATACATTCAGGGCAAAATTTACCTGGGCCGCATCCTGTCATGTTAGGTATTGTGTCAGCCACTGGGAGCAGGAGTCCAAGAGGATCTTGGAGATGTAGAAATTTAGGTACATTTTATTGTTAAAACCATTTTGGGGGAGGTGGGGATGTTGGGAGTTTGCCTAGCCTGTGGAAGGATCAAAGTTTAATACCCAACACTGGGAGAAAAAAGAAGAATCAACCAGGAAATTTTTTCAGCTCTCAGCACCTGATGAAACCCTATCAGGTTTCTGGACTGTTCTCTTCTTGCGTTGATAACCCAGCTTTCCAGTAAACTGGTCCTTGGAAAACAGTGGGTCAATAATATAAATGCCTCTATTAATACTTAGCACACTAAACTCAGTATTTCACCAGAAGAATTCGAACCATGAATAAGAAATACCTGAGTACAGCTCTTGACCAGCCTAGTTCAGAATTATATTAGTAGACACACTTAAAGCAAAAAGAATCATGTATACACAAATTCTCTCCTAGCAATAATGGCTTAATACATTGACTTTCCTATTCTATCTAATCTAATTTTTTATGTACTTAAAACACAAAAATGTCAGAAAGAAAAGTGACCAAGAATGAGGCTGCTATGGTAAGAAACCACTGATCATGAGTGTCACAAAGTTGTCAGTGATTCACAGACTGGCAGTCCACAGTCTGCATGTTGAAGAGGGTCCCCTCACAGCTGCATCCACAGCCTGCATGCTGAAGGGGGTCCCCCCACAGCTGCTATTTGTGCTCTAGTGATTGCTGGTTACCAAGGAGCATGGAGTGACCAGCAATGACTGGAATGGAGGGACAGGGGAGACAGGGGAGCACATGGAGCATAATCCAGAGGAACAAGCACATTTCTGCACAAATAACAACTCCAGTATAAATTGTTTCAAGTAGCGTGTCCCACTGGAACAAGATTTTAAAAAACACTCTTAAAAAAGAATTGGTGTAACTTGGAGATTACCAAAGGTTTATTTGGAATGACACAGCACTGAGAACATAACGGTTACAGATGATTTGTGGTACAGCATACATCACCTAGTTCATTGTAGGATGATCTGTGAAAATGAGTTGCATAAATATAGTGTGGAAGTATATAGGAGCTTTTTAAATAGGTTCTTTTGGGGTAGATTAATACGCCCCACCATCTAGCCAATCACATAAAGGCAGAGGTGAAGACTGCATAGCTGCTGGTCCAGGACTAGCCTTCCTCTGCCACAGCAGTTGAACAGCTGTACAATCAGGTCCTGTTCTCTCCAAAGGGGCAGCAGCTTAGCCGTGCAATTTGTTATCTCATCCTGAAAACTGTACACGACACACACAGATACTGTCAACTCTTTTGGCAATGGGATGACTGGTTTTGCCCTGAGGCAAAACTGTACTGTAATGCCAGACAGAATAAGAGCAATGCATGTATCAATGACACTCAAGAGGCAAAGAGCTACAGTGGTAAGGAAAAGAAGCAGCTATGTATATGTAGCCATCTGCATACACATAGATCCAGCGGTCATGGGAACTAGCTTGTGGGACTATGTGTCCATAGATATGTATGTAGAAGTGTGTTGGAAAAGACTGTTGAAAACGTTTGCAACTGTTTAGTTTTAACACAGTAAACTTGAAAGGGAGCGAGAGCACGTTGGGCAAGGGAGTCAGATGATGCCGTACTACAGGACAACTCCTCACGTCTTCTGTAGGGCAGCCACTCAATACCACACACTTGATGCAGAGGAATTAAGGTCAGTCTGGAGAAAGCTACTTTAGAACTGGTGGAAGGGGAATCAAGTATCAGTGTCCACAGTTTAGACAAAGCACAAACAGACCTGCTACTGAATACAGGGAACAAAGTAAGGACTTTTTCCTTCATTTGCTTTCCCTCCCCTCCTCTTACACTGTTTGTGTACATGCTCTACTGATAAGTCTTCCAGGCTCTGTCTGGCATCAGTCTATAAATCATTAAGAGTATAACAGCAAAAGTGAGCGCTCCCAGATTCACAAAGGTTTAAAACCCACTCATGGAAATCTTCTGCAAAACTTGTAGCCCTACTCCAGGCGTCGGGTGAAGTTCTCTGGAAAGAGACCTTTGTAGGTGGCCAGGTCTCTGTACTGAAGCCAGTCTGACTCCTTCACACCAACCAGCCAACCTGCATCCTGCAAGACAACAATAGGGTTTCAGAGTCCAGCAAACTCCTGGGAACATCCATAATGCCTAAAACTTGACAGTAATTTGTTCAGCTACTGCCTTGAGATTTCATACTATTGTAAAGTGGTATGCTATTGTGTGACGGGGGGGGGGGGGGGGGCCGTGATAACTTGGTAGTTGAAAAAAAAAAAGTAATGAATAAGCACCTTAAATTATTTATTATTGTATATAGCTCACCGAAGGACAATGTTAATGTTCAAATTTTGTATAAAGCATAGTCAATTAACATTAACCATGTTATAAGTTCTTAAGAGAAAAGGAATTCCATGTGAAAACATGGCATGCAAGGAATACAACCAATTATCCTGTGGTTTACAGTGGGCCAAGGGTTGAGGAAACAATCCTTGGGACCAAACAGAATCAAACATAACTATGCTTTTAATATTGTTTCAATGATCTTTAGCAATATACCCATAAACATGGTCTAAAAGCCAAACCAAAGTATTGTAGGATGTAACCATAAAACAGTAAACCGGAAACATGTCCTGGCATCTATTCAGCCATGTTTAAGTAACTTTTCTTTAATTGTAAAGTACAAACTTCAAATGGGACCCTAAAACAGGACATAACTTGATTGTGGAAATTAGTCTAATTTATAAGTTGGCTGCTAGATTGAGTTTTCAGATATAGAAATGAATGTAACAAACTACTTTGCTTTGCAGTACTAATTTTTTTTCTTTTAAAAATATTTTTATTGAATTTTTGTGATTTTTTAAAAAATTTTATTTATTTATTTATTTAGTTATTTATTTTTACACTCACTTCCCAGATAGCACCCTCCCATAGCCTCCCTCCCCCCCACTAGAACCCTTATACTCTGATATCCCTGAATAATTTTATATTAAAAAATTGTTAGGTTAGAATATAAAGTTGACATGGCTACCAGAGTCTTATATTACAACACAGCTCACATCACATAACCACAATAAACCACCCTCCACAGGGCTTATCGGTACAACATGCTGGAAATGTGCTGCCTGGTTTTGCTATTGTTATGAATGCCTGATGTTTTCAGTTCATGTAAATTACAGGAAAAATTAATGTTGTGGCATTCTTCTTTTTAGTTTTGTTTTTCGATATTTATTTTTATTTTATGTGCATGAGTGTTTTGCCTGCATGTGTGTAAATACATCATGTGCATGCAATGCCCTCAGAGGCCAGAAAAGAGTGTGGGATTCCCTGGAACTGGAGCTATCGACAGTTGTTAGCCACCATGTGAGTGCTGGAAACTGAACCCAAGTCCTTGGCAAAGAGCAGCCAGTGCTCTTAACTGCTGAGCCATCTCTCCAGCTCCAGTTGTGACATTCTTTCCAGAGACATTCATATGTTCTTTCTAAATTAACTTTTGTCTGACTTATTGGAGTGGCATCATACAAAAAAGACATTTAGCTAGAGAAGGGTTAAAGAACTCATCCGTGGATTGGATGGCACACAGAACAAGAGATGAGCTTTACAACTGAGAATGGTAGGCTGCTGTCTGCCCTTGCCCTTTGGAGAAAATGCAGCACTGGAGGGACACACTGCATGAACACGGTGGGAAGTGACTGTCTTCATGGAGATACCACTTACAATGAGGGATGGCCAGATTTAATCTGAAGCAATCATACAGTTCAAGTACATCAGATAAAATGAGGTCTCAAAAATTAAAGAAAGAGCTGAATACATTCCCTTTTGATATCATCTGAGATTGTAAATTGATGCTGCCATATTGTCAAGAAATATAAACACTTAGGCAGGCCAATTTTTGAAGAGAGGAAAAAAACCCACAAAAATCACAGAGGGAAAAAATTGACCCAATAAAATAACTGATAATATCCTTGCTGATGAGGAAAAGTGCCCTCTTTAAAATAATGTCATATATGTGAAGGACAAAATTATACTTAAAGTAAGAAATGACTACTAAAAATTTTCTAAACCTCTAGTATGCGTGTAAAAAGCCACTTCTCCCAGTGTATCCAAGCCACTTCTCCCAGTGTATCCATATTTGACTTTCTTTACAGTGAGTCAAAATTGAATGGGGCTAAATAGAGTGAAGCATTTTAAAACTGTTTCAATAGAGAAAAAGAAAATAAAGCACTTCCATAAACCCATAATGAAGATCTATTCTAACACAATGCTCTGAAATAAACTTCAACTGTAAAGTGAAGGATATTAGCTAATATAAATCTTAAGCTAAGGAAAATTAAATTTTAGCTGCTTAAATATATGACATAAGAATTTTAAGTTTTGAGAGTGGTGGGGCAGCTTGTATCAGACAAATGCTTTCACACAGAATAAGTACTCAAATAATTATATGCATCTATGAATCTACATAGTGCCAACTAAAAAAAATATATAATATAAAATATAGGACATATACATACAGAGAAGCAAGGATAAATCATGAGCACAGCTATCTGAAGTCACCAAAAACAGCCAAAATCAAATAGATTAGAAAATACTCAACCCTCATTATAGGGAATCGCCTTCTGTGGGAACAAATTAACATGGCTTATCCCTGAGGACTGGCTTAAGTCCACATGCCCGTAGGGTTTTTAATTTAAGGCTACAAAAACAGCTGTACACTAATGGTGGGAGGAAGATACCCGAAAAAGGAAGGCGACCTGGGATGGAAATCCTCAGCTATGCAGAGAAACTTTCCTTAAGTTGTGGGCTGCATACATAATGGGACTTCAAGAAGAAGTTTTAGCATTGCCAATAATGGGGGATTTTAGAGTTTAAATCCCACCAGTGGGCCTGGAGTAGTAGTTAAGAAGGTGTGTTGCTTTTGCAGAGGGCTCGAGTTCTGCTCCCAGCACCCAAGTTCAGTTCCCTGACCCCATGTCAGACAGCTCACAATCATCTGTAACTCCAGCTCCAAGGGATCCAACACCCTCTTTTGTTCCCCATAGGCACCTGCCCTCACATACACACACCTACATCAGCCACAAACCCACATACTTAATTAAAAATAAAAATAAGGGGCTGGAGAGATGGCTTAGCAGATAAGACACTGTCTGCTCTTGCAGAAGACCTGGGTTCACTTCCCAGCACCCACAATGGTGACTGGTAACCATCTGTAACTCCAGTTCACGGAGATCTGGTGCCCTCTTCTTGCATGGCATGACACGGGAGCACTTACATACATTCAAGCAAAACACTCATATACATAAAACTAACTAAACAAAAATAAATCTTAAAAAATAAATTCTGGGGCTGGAGAGATGGCTCAGGAGTTAAGAGCACTGACTGCTCTTGCAGAGGACCTGGCTTTGATTCCTAGCACCCACATGCTGGCCTCGAACTGTCCTTAACTCCAGCTCCAGGGGAACCCGAAGCCCTCTTCTGACCTCTGCAACATTGCATGACACGGGTGCACTCACATACATGCAGACAATACACTCATACACTTAAAATAAAAATAATAAATACAATATTTAAAATAAATAAATTCTACCAAATTGGGTGAATTGATAAAACACTACTGGCCTTTTACAGCCAACTCCCCCACCCAAACCCTAGAGGAAGAGATAATGTCCCAGGGTTAAGAATTTATGCAAAGTATAAAGGCACACATTCTCACAAAATACAGAGCTTTCCATTTAAATTATCCAGCAATTTAAATGTCCATTGGAACAAAAGTAAATGATCTTCAAATATAGAGAACAGAATCCAAACACTCTGCAAATTATACACTTAACACATCCAGTGTCAATATAAAAATATTGCCAGACATGCGGACATTATCAGTAAAATATGACCTGTAGACAAAAGATGATCATCATAAATATGCCCTGAAATCATATCGCTTTGGGGATTATCAGTAAAAACATTAGTTATTATAAGTTTGTTTAATTGTCTAAATTGAAAGATAGTGATTATGATAAATCTTAGCAAAGAAATGGAATCTATGTAAAAGTACAAGAATTAATCATAGAATTGTGTAAATACAACGTTGAAAACTGAATATTTACTGCATACATTTAACAATTTCAGAACAGCAGAAGAATCACAGTCTAGAAAACATTGTTATAAACCTGATCACCATAGTGAAATAAATATTGCTTTAAATATTGATGCTCTTAGGCATCAGCCTTCAACACAATCTGACGAGAAATTCAGAAAAAGAGGAGACAGAAAGAGTTAAAGAAATAGTAGCTGATAATTTTGCAAATAATGGAAAATCAAAAAGTTACAAGCCTAAGGAGCTCAATGAATCCCAAGTGTGAAATCACACAGATACACACATACACACATAGACACACAGACACACACGTATACACAGATGCACACAGACATACAAACATAGATACACACAGACATAGACACCAAAACACAGACACATACATACACACACAGACACAAAGACATAAACACACAGACACAGGCATACACACAAACAAATATACCTCCCCAAGGCTTTACAGTGAAACTGATAAAAACCGTAAGTATAGAAAATTTCCCTGTATCAGGGAATGTTACATTGTTTATGGAGAAATCATATTAACCAAACAAAAGCTGTGTTCTAATTATAACCATAAAGACCAAAAAGCAACATCTTGAGGAGCTGAGAGAAAAAAAATCAACTCCGAGTTCTTTCCCTTGTGAGAAATCTTTTAAAATAAATATAAATGAAGACAGGCTCACATAAACAAAAGCAGAGAGTATTTGTTGTTGGCAGATCAGCATTACAGGAACTGCTAAAAGGAAAAAAATCTTAAGCAGAATGAAAATGAGAACAGATAGAAACTAGCATTTGTAGGAAGTTGCGAAGAGCAATAGAAATAATAAATATGTTGGAAAACATAAAAGACTATTTTTTCTGGTCTTATTTCTTAAAAATACAAATTAGAGTTATCCAAAATACATAAATTTAACATAATGGACGTGATGGTTAATTCTCGGTTGTCAACTTGATTGTACCAATGCCTAGGGCACTAATTAGACACACCTTTGGTTGTGCTCATAAGAGCTGTTCCAGAAAGAGTGAACTGAAGGGAGGAGACCCACACTGAAAGGAGTGGCCCCATCCTAGGGATTGGGCTCTTACAGTGAACAATAAGCTAAGGAGAAAGCCGTCTGAGTACTGGAATTTTCTTTCTTCTGCTTCCTGTTCTAGGAGACAAGGAGCCCCAGGCACACTCTCTCACACTGCCACTGCGCTTTCTCTTCCATGATGAGCTGCATCCCCTCAAACCATGAGCTCGGATAAGTCTTTTCCTCCATGAAGTTGCTCCTCATCAGATATTTGATCAGAGAGGTGAGAAAGCAACTAATATAAAAACTGGCACCAAGAAGTGGGTTTGTGGCTGTGACTACCTGACCAATTATATGGTTTGTAGATTCTCACAGCTAGCTTCTGGGAGGATTGTAGAATAATTTAGATTTGTGGGCGAGAAAGGCCTTAGAATGCTGTAAGCAAAGCTTAATGGGCCATTCTAGTGAGATTTTGAAAAACCAGAATGCTGAGAGAACGCAGAAGGTAAAGAAAGACTGTGTTCATGAGGTTTTGGAGACAAGGAACTCTATCAGGAACTGGGCTAGAGGTCATTCATGTTATATTCTGGCAAAGACTCTGACAGTGTTTTGTCTGTGTCCTGAAAACTTGAGTGACACTGAACTGAAAAGTCATGTGTTAAGGATAATTCAAGATGGCAAAATGTAAAGGCTGGGGCATGATTATTGCTTACTGCATTGAACCAGATTTACACTGTGAAAGAGCAGAGAGATGTGGAAAATGTGCTGTTTGGCAAGTACAGGAGCTTGAATTGTTAGAGGTTTAAGAAACCCACTTTCATTGGAGCAATAGTAAAGCTGTTGTAAGGGTAAGACCCCAGCCACCAAAGACTCTAGCTTATAAAAATGCAGACTCATCTGAAGAGCTTTCACAGGAAGAGAGTGTTTGAACAAAGAAAGCATCCAGGGTATCCCAATTGTATAGGACCATTTAGAATAGTGGTTTCTCAGGTTAAGACTTGAGAGCACAAAAAACCCCATTGCAATTGTGATCCAAGGGAGCTAGGCTACAATTAGCAACAGCGTTTGTCTTTTTCGATATGGTGCTACATTTACAAAGATGAAAAATACAAGAGTTACAGGATCATAGAGGTTTACGCCAAGGTTTCAAAAAGCTGCTGAAGTCAAGCAACATAGAGCCCAATCAGATTTCCTGCATGGCTCTCTAAGAAGGTCATTAATAAAGTTGTGAAAGTCGCAATGGAAATCCTCCAGGACACTGGAGAGGCCACAACGCTGCCGGCAGCTGTGCTGGAGGAGGTGGGGCTATTCATGCCCATTTGGAGCGCAAAGGATAATACCACAAGCCAGGTGCCGTACATGGAGTTGCAGGGTTTGGTGTTTACACTGCTGGGTGTCGGTCTTGTTTGGTCCAGTATTTCTTTGCTATCTTCCCATACCTCCCTTCTGGAGCAGGAATATTTACACTGTGCTATTATACATTAGAAGCATGTAACAGGCTTTTAAATCATTCTACAGGGGCTTTCAGTTAAGAGATTGCCCAAGTCTCAGTAGAGATTCTTCTGCACTTAGACAGGTGAGTAAAGCTAGAACTGTTAAGATTTCAGGTACTGTTGGAGATAGACTAGATGCATTTGCATTATGAGCTAAACAAGAGGTTTTAAGGGTCAAGGATGAAATTTTGTGTTTTACAATGAAGTGCTTGGGTATCAAGTTGACAAGGGATAGATTTGTAATAGTTGATTTCCATTGTTGACTTCATTTGATTACTCAACACCTAGAGCATTTCATGAGGCATATCTGAGGCTCTTCTGTGAAGGCTTTACCAGTAAGGATTAACTAAGGAGACAAAATCTGCACAGTATATGTGCAGCACCATCACATGGGCTGGGGGCCTGAACTAAGTAAAAACGGGAAAAGACAAAAGTCAATCGAGCATTGGTGTTTCCCTTTTCTCTGCTCCTGGTCTGCCAAGATGAGAGGAGGTCAGGAGTTCCAGTTGCACACCCCAGTGCCATGGAGCCACCTGCCACCATGCCTTCCCTTCCATCCCTGATGGACTGCTATACCTTTCCTGCCATCTGTGTGGACTCTCATGCTACGATGAACTGGCATGCCTTCCCCACTATCTGCAGTGAACTGCCACACCTTCCTTACTATGATGGACTGCCATGTCTGTCATCTGTGATAAGCTGCCATGCCTTCCCTGCCATTTGTGATCGACTGTTATACCTCCCTTGCTACGACGTACTGAATCGCCTCAAACTAGGAGTGATCTAAAATAAGCATCTCCTTCCTTGAGTGACTTCATGTATTCAGTCACAGCCATGAGAAAAGTAACTATATAATGGGCTTCTAGTGCTTTGAGATGCACAAAGATGTTGGTACTTGTGCCTATATTGATAATCTACACTGTATCACTTTTCCCTTAAATAGTCTTTCTAAGACTTAAATAACAAATTTATTATTTCTTTCAAAGAACCAGTTCTGGGCTTTGTAATGTTGTGAACTGTAGGGAGGGTGTATTTTTCTCTTTTTTGGGGTTTCTCTTTTTGTTTGATTTTTTGAGAATGGTTCTTACTATGGCGCTCAGACTGGCCTCAAAGTCACAAACTTCTCTGTCTCCATTTCTTGAGAGCTGGGATTACACCAGGGCCACCATGCCCAGCTTCATTCATTTGTGAACTTATTTTGATTATTTCCTTCTTTCCACTTTGTAGTTAACTTGACTTCTTGTATTCTGAAGCTTGAAACTTGTAATTAGCAAACAGTACAAATATTTTTAAATTACAATTTAATGTATTTGACACGTGAAATATTTATAAATCTGTTTTTGAAAATATTTGGAGCTCTAAAAATACGTTATTTTTTTAATTTCTAATGGAATCTTATAGAGGCTGAATCTCTGGTTGTCTAGCCCTCACCTGTTTTATGTTGGTAAATCTATTACCAAAAGAAAGAACAAAATGTTGGGCATGTGACTGTTAACCTAAAAAGCTGTGATTTTAAGCTTTATCTTTAGAGGGAAGACTTAAAAACATATTTCTTTTAACGTTAGTATGGAAGTTATAGCTTCTAGACATACATGCTCAAGACTCATTTACACATTTTACTTGCCATATCAGGAGTTTACAAATCACAAATAGGAAAAACCAGGAGTTCCCAGTACCTTAATAGCAGACTATTCTGGTAGGAGATTTTATAACAGTCCCTTTTTCCACGTGAGACATAATTTAAATGCTGTATTAATGGCAAAGTTTCTAGTTCAACAAGGTTTGACAAATGCATACTCATAACCCCACCCCACCAAGATCTAAAGCATTTCAACTTCCCCATAATGTTCTCTCAGGTTCGTTTCACAGTCCCCACACCCTTAGAGGCAACCACTTCAGAAGTGGATTCCTTAGTTCGTGTGCAGTGTCAGCATTTTCTAAGTACAACATTACAACATCCCTAGCGAGTGATCATGAGATAACAAACTCATCTAATTGTACAACAAGGAACAACACAACAGCGTCCTCAAAGGGTAACCTGAAAACACAGTTAATGGTATGCTATGCTCTCAAGTCCTTACGATCTTTTCAGAGTAGGTTTGCAGCATCTTAGAAAACAGAAATGCTTCAGGAAGTCACTTGTCCAATTGACAGACCCTCAGAAAACCAATGTGGCCTGAAGCATCTTCCAGTCTTATACTCTACCTGGTCAGCTTCTGAATCTGAGGGGACCACAAGCACCACGTCACCCCTTTGTAGGGTAAGTTCATCAGAATTTGCTGCCTCAAAATCATGAAGTGTTTCCACCTGAAAACATTGAAAAAGAACTGATTAATTTTAGAAAGAAGCTGTATGTGAGGGTTCATATCTCCAGTTCCAGCACTCAAAAGGATGTAGTAGAGGACAGCCATGAATTTATGGCCAGCTTGGGCTACTTAGTTTCAGACCAGCAAGGGCTACTGCAAATTTAGACTCTTTCTCAAAATAAAGGGAAAAAAGAAAAGGAAGAAGAGCCAGTGGCAGTGATACAGCCTGAATTCCCAGATTTGTAATTTAAACAGATCGTTTTCCTTTATAAAGGACTAGAATCCAGCACTTCACTATAGTAACAGAAAACAGGTTAATACTTCTAAAGATTTTGGAAATACTATTTTCCACTACCTAGTGCCTTGAATTCTTATTGACTTATATGAGGCCACTTGCATCTATATTTAATAATGCAATGTTATGCAATAGTGGAAAGTACTGTATTAAATTTAACTCATTGTCTTTGTTAGCTATTTTATCATTGGTAATTTATTAGTTTGCTTAAGTTAAGCCAAAGATGTCAAACTAAATGTTCTTTTTCCAAATAATGAAAAATTAGGTGCATTATATTTGCGTGTTATATGA